ACTTTTTTCATGAAAAAAATCATGAGGCACACCACCATTAGAAAATGTTTAAAAAATTTAACTCTGTGCCTATATTGACTATATATAAAGTAATTCTCCCACGGCACACCTTACACTATGTCACGGCACACTAGTGTGCCGCGGCACAGTGGTTGAAAAACACTGTTCTAGTCCAACCCTCTGCTCAAGCAGGAAACCTGACACCATTTCAGACAAATTGTTGTCCAAGCTCTTCTTAAAAACCTCCAGTGATGAAGCACCCCCAATTTCTGGAGGCAAGCTGTTCCACTGACTAATTGTTCTCACTGTCAGGAAATTTCTCCTTAGTTCTAAGTTGCTTCTCTCCTTGATTAGTTTCGACCCATTGCTTCTTGTCCTACGCTCAGGTGCTTTGGAGAATAACTTGACTCCCTCTTTTTTGTGGCAGTCCTTTCGATATTGGAAGACAGCTATCATGTCACTCCTAGTCCTTCTTTTCATTAAACTAAACTCCCTGCAACTGTTGTTCATATGTTTTATATAGACTAGAGTAGAGCAGAGCAGAGCAGAAGAGAACAGAACAGAAAAAACGGAACAGAATAGAATTGGATAGAATAGAATAGAATTTTTTATTGGCCAAGTGTGATTGGACACACAAGGAATTTGTATGTGGTGCATATACTCTCAGTGTACATAAGGAAAATAAAATACATTCATCAAGAATAAAAAGATACAACACTTAGTGATAGTCAAAGTTACTAAAGCTATCAAATCATACTAGTAAATAAATAAAACAATACAAAGTGAAAGATACAAGCAACGTGGTTATAGTCATAAGTGGGAAGAGAGAGGTACTAGGAAGTAAGAGAAGAATAATAGTAAAACAGTCTTAGTAAATTATTTGACAGTGTTGTGGGAATTAGTTGTTTAGCAGAGTGATGGCATTTGGGGAAAAACTGTTCTTGTGTCCAGTTGTCTTGGTGTGCAGTGCTCTATAGCGTCATTTTGCAGGTAGAAGTTGAAACAATTTATGTGCAGGATGTGAGGGGTCTGTAGATATTTTCACAGCCCTCTTTTGGACTCGTGCAATATACAAGTCCTCAATGGAAGGGAGTTTGGTAGCAATTGTATTTTTCTGAAGATCTAATTATCCATTGAAGTCTATGTCTGTCTTGTTTGGTTGCAAAGCCAAACCAGATAGTTATGGAGATTATGGACAGTTATGCAGAAAGGCTAAAACCTACAAGGTGGCAGATAACGAGCCTCTTTCCACAATGCTTTATAATATAGCCCACCTCAGTACTGTCTTCTCAAAGCCAGTTCTCTCTACAATGGTTGTTTTGCCCGTACACAGAAAATCGCATAGCTAGCTAGTTTTGGTGGAAGAGACATGTCTGATCACCAAGCCTAAGAGGTGTGGAAGATACTAATGACATCCAATTCTCATGAAATATACCAGGAAACGTCTTAGCTTCCATGAAGTACGCAAGGAGAAAAGTTGACACTTCATCCAATAAAGGTCCTTCACCCCTAGGTCAAGCATATCACTAAAGTGAATAATTTTCTAGCACATATCTACATATTGTTAACTGAAAATCAAACAGGAAATTCTGAATAAGAAAATACCTCAAATTAACTTTCAGAAATGTCTTTATCCCCATTTCTTCTTCCTTTAAAAAAAATATAGGAGGTAGAGAACTTGACAAGCCCAGATATTTAAATTAACACTTGTTCCCATGCCAGCCTACTTTTGCATGGACAACATCTGTGATAAGATGTGACCGGAAAGGAACCTTAGAAGACCTCCAAGGTCCCTTCCAACTCTGCTATTGTATTATTGTATCAAGATTTTAAATGTCTTGACTTCCGCAAAATGCTTTAAAGGAGGCTACTTTTCAAAACTGTCCAGGGAAAAAATTGGTGTAAAATAAGCAAAAGACATGGATCACAACACATTTATCTTAGAATAGAATAACAAAGTTGGAAGGAACCTCGGGGAAAAGGGCAGCATATAAATGAAATAAATCCAAATCCAAATCCAACCCCCTGCCTAGGCAGGAAACCCTACACTACTTCAGACAAATGAATATCCAACATCTTCTTAAAAACATCCAGTGTTGGGGTATTCACAACTTCTGGAGGCAAGCTGTTCCACTAATTAATTGTTCTAACTGACAGGAAATTTCTCCTCAGTTCTAAGTTGTTTCTCTCCTTGACCAGTTTCCACCCATTGCTTCTTGTTCCACCCTCAGGTGCCTTGGAGAATAGTTTGATTCCCTCTTCTTTGTGGCAACTCCTGAGATATTGGAACATTGCTATCATGTCTCCCCTAGTCCTTCTTTTCATTAAACTAGACATACCCAGTTCCTGCA